GTTTGAGGGACTATGTATAGTCACAGCATGGTGTACATGGACTCTTAATGTTGAATCAGTGCAAGCACAGACAGCTTACTCTTGAATTTGTGGTTCAGGAAAGCTATGAAAAGTGTTTTATGTAAACTGAGATCTGCTTCAAAGTGTATCTCTATACAAATTTTTTAGTTTTGGCTAGAGTGGTGAAGGGTAGACCCTCTCCAAGGTCAGGTTTTTACTGCTGTCTGTCTCATCATTGGCAAAACTCACCCCTCTGTTTGTACTGGTGACCATTGTCACTGAGATAAAAAGTGAGGGTAAAGTGAGTTATCCCCATAATAAAAGGTAAGGGAAAACCTTCCAATGCAGACACTTCTTCCAGGGACAACTATCTTAAACTTTCTGAGTTTTTTTTTTAACTTCCTATCATGTTTTTGGGGCAGGAAATGAGGACTAATCTCCCCAATAGGACATGGACAGCAAAAACAAATAATAATTAGAAGAATAAGAATAACAATAATAATCTGACAGGTTTTTAATGCTAACTCAATCCCAAGCCAAAAATTGTATTTCACCTTTTAAGTTGCATTAGTGAAATAAATGAACTTTTTCACGATATTCTAATTATTCGAGTTTCACCTGTATACTTTAACTATTTTTAATCAAGCAGCAAAATAAAAAGAAAATAGAATACGTTTATATCTTTTCTCATTGCTAAATCTGGGAGGTCAGGAAAACATATTTTTTTTATACTTCCACCATATCACTTCGAAGAATTATTATCATTTATATTACTTTTTGTGGTGTTGGTGAATTAAACCAAATATTCTTTCCAGTGCATTGCATGTTAATAAATAATTGTAATGGCTTCGCTGACATACATACATGTAAAATGCCGTATGTCTGTTTTGGCTCAAATCTCACCTTAGTGAAACATTTTAACTATAGAATTACATCTTTCTGTTAAGTCTCATAACTCCACCACACAGGCATAGTTAAGAAGTGCATTAATTTATAGTTTATGTCTCAATGACTACCATATGGCCTAGATTTCCCAGGATACTCCTGTCCTATACAGCTCCATCTATTTCATTTGACATATCTTCATAAGCATTCTGCAAAATGTGGATTAGGGCTCATGCACATGGCCGCAAGAGGGCTGTACAGTTCACATAGCAGCATATTTCTTTGGCTGGGAGTGACAGGTGCACCATACAGTGGCTTATAGCCAGCATGTACATATCAATGACAGGCAGGCTGAAGCTGTGGCTGTATAAGTATATAGAAAATGACACCATAAGCATCCGTACAGGGCCATAGGCATATCCCCAAACATAGGCCGCCTGTCTTTGACTGTACAGGCTGGCAATACTCTGCTGTATGGTGCACCTGTCACTCCCAGCCGATACACAAATAAGATACAAAAGCCCACAATTTCAGCTTACACATGATTGGATGGTTGAAACTGCTTTCACTCACAAAGTATAGTAAACAGTCTTTGCTCCTTGGAGCTGATTTACTAAATGAGTGGAATGTTCACTAAGCTTTGTGACGCTAACAAATTGGGATTTTTGGGGGGATATTTACTCAATCACTTGCAAGGGAAAGTAAAGATAAACTCCAGCCAAATAGATAAATACACAGGTATAATATTTTTTTTAGCAGCAGAAAAAAATTATATTACTGTCCATCCAGTCCTGATATTTACACAATTCTACCACACAGCACAATCCTGCCTGGCAATGGATGGGACCCGACCTTCTTCTGCTGCAGCTTCACATTCATTCACAGGTCTTTTCGTCACCCCCTGTCCTGTGACTGCATAGTGAGAGTAGAAGCAGCACACTGATGGGCTCTCTCTGTCACTCTCTTTCCTTCTATTAGCATGCTCCTTGCACTACAGAACACCTTAATCTCCAAAATATACAACAGGGGCCTCTTATTCATCAAGCAAATTGAACATTTACTTAGTAATATGGACATTCCGTTTTTAAAATATTGATGTATACATACACACATATTTATAATGATGTGCTTATAACTGCAGAAGCATGAATAGGCTTCATTTAAAGCTCATCATCATGTCCCCCTCCCCCCAAATTGTTTGCCCCTAAAGCTTTCCATACACTGATTATTTTTAAAGCCCATTATACATGCCTTAAATCCTGCAGTTTTTTTTAGCTGGTCCAGTACCATCACAGGTCTTTTCTTATCTTCTCATCCTTACTTCTGGAGAGTGCAGTATTAATATAATAATGTGTGAGCACTGCTCTGGCCCGGAGTATTGTGAGCCCAGGTTGGTGTGATGATGTGCGCACAGCAAGTCCATGATGGTCTGCTCTCATTGGAAGTGGGTTGGATGATGCTGGGTACCATTCATCACTCATATGAAATGAATCAAAGTGCAGATGTTTGGACAGGGTATTATAATTAATGTTAAAAGTAATAACCATGCTCGCAAATTCAGCTGAACTAAAGAAATAAAAGAAGAAAGCCAGAATGGTAGACAGGTACATAAGGAAACAGGAAGACTATAAAGATTATTTTACCTTTTACCACAGTTTTGCTTCATCTATCCTCTAAACACTCAGCAATACATTCTGCTTCCTGTCCGTGTCTGTAGGAATGTGTTTCACAGGCCACTTGGCATTGTAAAAGTATTTTATTGAAAGTACTTCCCTCTCTTTGAAATATACTTTACGTAAAGAGAAACTCATTCTTTGCCATATAAAGGGTTTAACAAAATGTAAGAGATATTTCAATTTCCATATTAAATGTAAACATGATATAGTTTATAAAACCCCGTGTTTAGTTCCCATGTTTTAGTGCCACCATTTTCATATAATTGGAAAAAATATAAAGTAAATGTGAATTAAACAAATCAAATCTTTTTCAATAAATCACAAATGTCTGATTCATGTCAATATGTTGGAAATGCATTGGCAGGTTTTCTGATCTGTGGAGACTCACGCAGTTCATACATTCCTGCATTCTGGCTTATGAATCGTTAAATTCTCCATACATAAAAAAACATTTTCATGCAAATATTCAGATAAATTAAAATTTTGCAATTTGCCAAAAATTTAAAGATTTAGCAATTTTCCTGATTAATAAATTAATGTGTTAATATATATTTGTTGCCTAGATTCAGTTTTATATTAAGGTGAATCTAAAACCAAAACCTTTTTATTAATTTTAAGTAGAAATGTTAAACCTATTTCATATTTTTTAGTTGTCTGTGTCATGTCTTGGAAAATTCACACTATTTGTCCTGGTAACCCTTTCAATTGGGCAAATATGATGGGAAATCCAAAATGTTACATTTGTCACTGAATCAGAAGATATAGGGGTTGATTTACTAACCTTATAAACACACCATGAACATGTATACACCTCTGTAGTGTGTTCCCTCCCAGCATGATCTGTGGGTGGAATCTAAACACCTTTGTAGTGTGTACACACCCAGCAGGTGTGTTGTGCAAAGCCAAGCATGAATTTGCAAGGTGATGTTGTGTAAATTAGCTCTATGTTGTGTTGCTTGCGTTGATGAATGCAGGAATGTAAATGCATGAGCTAACCATTTTTGTCTAAACTGTGAAGCAGCATTATATATGCATCATGTGCATGATTTTTCCATATATGGCATTAGTGGAAATATGTTTTTAGAGACTTTTTGGTTGATAAATACGTTTTGCTGTGTAAAAATCACACGCACCTAGTGCGTGCGTGTGTTTAGGTTAGTAAATCACCCCCATAAAGTTACAGCACTAAAAATAAATGCATGTCACATATTTATTGTGAACACAGCATTGCATAATCAAAAAAATACTTATCTTTTGAGGCCTTACAGGGTCTCGTGAGAAGAAAAGTATTCTAGAGAGTGAAAAGTCCTTATTTTTACATTGCTAGGCAATGGCAATACCAAACACTGGTCCCAACCACACCCTCTAGGCAGGGACCTCAGCTGGCACATGATCTGCCTGTAAAGCACACAGGGCATGTGTGGGCAACAGCCAATGGTCAGGCAATGCTAGACTGCATCTGGCATTGCCAAGCTAGTACAATAAATCGAGCGATCATGTGGTGAACATACCAATGCAAACTGGGGAAGGAGGGAAAATGAGTGGGATGCAAAAAAAGGAAGAACAAGAAGAGAAAGTGCAAAGAGTTTTTATTTTTTACTTTGCCTTAAAATCTATTTGTTGGGTATTTAGAGGCAAAGTACATCTTCCCTTCCCCACACTTCATTGATGTGTAAATTTGGTCAAGATACATAGATGACATCTTTATCAGCTGAACAGGTGCCAAAGATGGTATGGTTATGGCACAGCACTATCTGTTGCAATCATTCACATACCCACTGATCATTTAAAGGTCAAGTATTGTAAGGAGTTCAGCTTCAAATTTGGGCTTCATTTGTCATTGAAATGTGAGCAAAAGGAAATCTTCCAATGGAAACACTTGTTACAGTGACAACTGTCTGAGGGGATTCTCCCTCATTTTGGAAAGATTTTTTTATCTTACTTCCTCTTTTGTCTGTGAAAGGAAATCTCCCCTATACAACACAGGCAGCAAAAAGAACCAACAACTATTCTCTACTCTATCCCAAACTAAAACATGCTTTAAATATATTGCGAAACATACGGAAAAAAATTACGTAATTTTAATTTGTTTCTGTTATATTAATAACACAGATCACTGGCCCATATTTTAAAAATAAATATATGTTCTTTAAAAATAATTTTTCAAATGTCAACAATGGCAAAAATGTAAGTGGCTTATTAAGGATAATACAAAAAATTGCTGTGGTATGCAGTAATCTGTAATCTGTAACAATAGTTCTCTTTTAAACTTTTATCAGATTAGACTATTTACAACAGTGAAAATGTTAGATGGGTTGCCTCCACTTTGTTTTAAACCTATAAGGGCTATGAGTTGGTTGTTTTCAAGGTATTAAAATGATGGGGTGCATTTTACTATAATGTTTTAATGATTTGTTGCTCTTTCACTTTATTTTGTAGAAAGAGGTTCACCTCGTGATTTAATAACCAGGGATATTACAGACACTACAATAGGAACGTCATGGACAGCAGCTCCAGGAATGGTCCGTGGTTACAGAATTGCATGGAAATCTCTGTTTGATGATGAGTCTGGAGAGAAGACTGTACCTAGTGATGTCACTAATACAGTCCTGGAGTACCTTAAACCAGAAACAAAATACAAAATCTCAGTTTTTGCTGATTACAAAAGTGGCGAAGGAGCCCCTCTTGAAGGAGAAGCTACTACAGAAGGTAATAATGAATATTATTTATGATCGTCTTGCTTTTAGAGACAAATACATTTGTAGGAAAATCCCTTATTTACTTGCAACTGACAAAGCCCAATGGTACCTGGCACTTGTTGCCAGAGTGACAGGAGCCTTGGAGCAGTATTGTGGATCTGTGTGTAATACATACATTGATGTAGAGTAGCTGTTTGTCTTCTCATTTGCTGATCAATACTATCTTTACTTTTGCTGTTTATTTTGTTGTTGCTTAATGCTTAAAAAACTTGTGTTTGAACACCCAGATGCACCATTCCATACTATACACCATTGCTGTATAGAATATATTCTCATGTAAAACATATTTTTTTGCTGAAAAATGAAAAAGAATCCACCCGTAATATACATTTCTTTTTGATTTTGAGATCATGGTGGCAAGACATAGGCAGGGGCATTACTACAAATCATGAGGTTCCATAAAATGAAATGATAATTCCCCCACCTCACCCCTTTCAGAAGAGCCTACTACATTAGTGTTAGTGGAAAGGCCGCCCTAAAGCATTGGTGGTCAGTGACTTTTTAACATTACACTGTTACATTGACAGTTTGTGGCAAAGCCACATTACATTGTTGAATGGCAATCTCAGTGTGTCTCATTTGGAATGGGATGCTGCTGATTAAAATGTGTAAACACTGCTCTGAATTTAGCCTCAGCAACACCAAATTATACATGCCTGCTCAAAGACACCCTGACTACAGAATCAACCCCTCATTGAGGATTCTAAAATAGTCTGAGGCCAGTTGGGAGAGTGTAGTCTGTATTGTGGGCAAATCATTTAGCTGGCCCTTCTCAGTATGGATGTCTGTTCCAAAAAGCTCTCTGAAATCCCTAAACATTCGCAGTTAGTAAGGGCACTGGCTAGATGAAGAACATAAAATGCCAGCACTTCTTAAACCTTTCACTTTTGGTCATTACCCATAGCATTAACCATATATGATGGAAGGTTGGATACTATGGACATATTCTTGTCTTCGTCATGCAGGACTTCTAACTGTAAGATACATGGAGACAAGGTTTTAGACTCATTAATCATTATCCTTAGCTTTAGTTTTAACGATCATGAGCTGCAATATAATCAAAATGCTTTTTGGGAAAAAAGGAAAAGAAACTCATGTATGTGCATGCCAACACAGAAGACATAGTATAGATATAAACATTTATCAAATGTTGACAATGTCTCATTGGAGATTAATATCATTCCACTGTATTCTGTAGAGCTGGTTGAGTATGAACCTGTCTGCTTATCTTTTACTAATTAATCAATTCTCAGGAATGACACAGCGTGACATAATTGTTATATTCTCCAATGCAGGTATATTGCTTTGATCAAAAACCCTTTAGAAAAAAAAAACAACTAAGATATATAAAGGTATTTCCCAATGCCCAGCATACATATATAAAAGCATTGAAGCTTACAAATAAAACTGAACAACCTAGAACAATCAGAAAATATTGCAATAAGCTTAATGATATTTTAATTTAAAAAGGAACAAAGGGTCACATTGCCCAAATTCTGTAACATGTAGGAGTGAAATAAACTTTGTATTCCTTTTTCAGAGATACCTTAGAAGCAGCACAATTGCATAATAGAGTTTTGCATGTTATTATTAATTAAGCATCTCTCATATATCCTTATTTAGTAAAAAGTCTTTATTCTCAAGTGCTAAATCTCAAAAATGGATTTCAAGTTTTAAATATCTTTAGATGGGAATAAGTCAAATAGTTCACCAACTGACTGGTTGCTGTAGGTTACTGCACTTGAGAATTAAAATAATACATTAAAAAACTCTTTAGAAAATATGAGGGATTATATAATAGCTACAGTATGTGGAGAGTCTATACAGTACTTCCATTACATTGTATTGCATGTTACAATACTTTGAAGATTAACATTCAGAATTACTTGTAATGCCTTTCACCATGAACAGGAAAATTTAGTAACTGGAGACTAGCAGATTTGGTGGAGGATCATCTTTTCTCAGCAAGTACCGTGAGAAATAAAGTTTAACAGTTTTCTTATGGTCCAAGCCTAATGGCAGGATCACTGCAGCTGTTCCAATTGCATCATGTAACCATCACGCCTAAACTTGACTGTGTTACACTTTAAGTATATGTAGATATGCATTTTTTTAAATAAAATCCCTGGAATTTCAGGAAATTCTCTAAAGACACATCTGTTGAAAGATTTCCCAGGCATTTTTTCAGATCTGAAAACATGTGCAAAGCATGTGAATATTGTTTATCATATAAACCTTGGGCAGAAACTGAAAAATTAAGCTGAAAAGTAACCTGATAATATGTATAGCACAGGACATACAATTGTGGGTATCTAAATGAATGTATTTTCTGTCAAGAGCATCTGTCACTCAAACACAGTGATATCTGTAAATTTGTGAGATGCTTTGGAACAAATTGCCTTGACATTTAGTACTCTGCATGCTTATGATCCTACCTTTAGCTTGCAAAATGCATGTGATCATAGCATAATAAAGGCTCAGTATATGCATCTATTTATACATTCTGTTACAAGAAGATTCACAAAACTTTTAGCCAAGATTCACACAAGATTCAGAAAAATTTGCAAATCCTGGGTGAAAGTTATGTGAATCTTTTGTGAAGGTTTTATAAATCTTTTGTGAAGAATTTATAATTAGACCCCTAATTGCTTACTGGTGCAACAGTGTGGTTACATGCATGTGTGCAATAGGCATAAGGTTTGGGTTCGCGGCTACCATGGGTTCGAGATTTGTGCTCTGGGTGAAATTTGTGTGGATTCTCATGGGAATTTTTTTAAAACTATAGTGCACCACATGGTACTTACTAAAAATTTTCTACTGCTGGCCAATTTAACATTGTTGTATCATGGTCTCGTAATTCTTAATGAAAGCTTGGTAGCAATTGGCCAGTGGCAGGGCAGATTTGCATCAGGACAGGAAAAATAAGGAGAGCTACAGCAAACTACTGGCCAATTTCTATCTGCCAGCCAAAGTGGACATGTGTGATTGCTAAATCTACCTGAAACAAAGCCTTTTCTTCCAAACTGAAATGCATCAGACTTGGGTGCTGGTGCTGTATATAACCCAAGCTAATTATAAAAGAAAAAATAAATTCTATGGCAAAATATGCGCTGCCGACTGGGACTGTCCATGAAACTCTTATTGTAACACATAATCCAAATTTAAGGCAACTTCCAAGCATGTTATTTAAAGGTTGTGGGCATTTTCAATGTGGCCCTCAAAGACTCATGAAATAATTTTTACCTGGTGTATTGTATGTGCGCCCCCATCTTGGAGGCAGAGAGCATGAGATCACCCGACACCAGCGTTGGGTTACATCATACGCATGTATGTATGGATGCAGCAAGATGGCGGTGCCAATAGACAACTAATTAATAGATGCATGAATATATTTTTAGTATATTCGGGCATATAATAATTCGTTATTTTGGATTTGGACGAACTGCCGAATCAACTGAATTTCGTGATTCAGCAAGTTCATCCGAATCCAAATGTACATGTCTAGTTGCCAGGTGTGTTATCTTTTGGAAATGAAAGAATGACATTTTGAGTGATTAATTTTTCACCCAGCATGAGCACATTACAATGAGGCTCTGATCTATGTTTGCTGTATTAACAATGATTAAATAAGCTATAATTATCTTTTCTATCAGATATCCCGTAATTATACCAATTTTCTAAAGTATATTGCTCTGGCTTTTTATGTTCCATATACAGAAAACTCAAATTAATGCAACTAGGTTATGATTAGTACAATAAAACAAATTATGTTTTTTTGATGTACCTGATTTTAATTTGGTATTACCCCCTGAATCCACTGAACTGTAGAATTCAGACTGAAAGAGGAAGAGAGGCAGAATGAGAGAGAGAGATGAAGAGGGAGGCAGAAGCTGTACAAGATCCAGTCAGTTTTGCTGCAGTGCTTTTGTCCTAAGAAAGAGCATGCTGATAAAAGGAGAGAGCAGTGCGACAAATGAGATGAGATTATCTGTCTGTTGCATCTCCTTTTCTCTCTCCAGTTAATGACTGGGTGATAGGCAAGACCTGTAACTATTACTTACCTGCAGTAGTCAAAAATCAAGTCTCCTGGCTTACCAGACATGGTTGTGCTGTGGGTCAGGACTGTAGAAATCTCAGAACTGGATAAATAAATGCTTGGACAGTTAAAATAACACCTGCACCAGGCTGCATGTTTTAACAAATATATAATGGATTGCAGCTGGCTAATAAAAATGTGACATGTTTCCATGGTTATTAAAAGACATTAAACACTTAAAAGACGTTTAAAACATTTAAAACTATTTAGGATGTAAGGGCTCTTTACAAGGTTTGGCCCTGCTTCTCCCACTAAATTGTGGTAATGGATGTCCTGTTCCTTGATTCGACGGTGCTGAGCCCGAATCAGAGAAAAGGTGGTCTGTTCTAAGGTGAGGGTAATTCTGCAGAGGCAGTAGAAGGAGCATGCACACGTAATTCTACTAGAGACTGGATACTCAAGACTAGGAAAAGACTTAAAGAGTGTTGAACCATCTTTGAGTCTGTGTGTGCTGTACTTTCATAAGGGAAAACTAATTGCCATAAAGGTTACAATTATACTTTCTAGTATCAGTCAGGGATAATTTTTAAGTGTCTCCAAATTACATTTTTCTTCGGAAGAGCAGTGTATTATGGCTGCAATGCCAGTATTTCCCTTAGAAAAGATAGCACACCCACCTTCTGAAAGCCTAGCTAGGTTGTCTTCAAATGTCTATGCCCAAAAACTCCACCAATATATTTTGTATATAATCTAGATCTATTGAATGGACATGTTCAAAGTAAACCTGGCAGTGAAAACGTCTCATGTACGTGTTTGGAAAGTAATAAAATGATTTACAAAAAAATATATTATGTTCCTTGCCACAGTGTCACCAAATGCAAAGACTCTTAAAGTTAGTGATGAGACAGAAAATACAATGAAAGTTACATGGCAGCCGGCTCCAGGAAATGTGGTGAATTACCGTGTCATCTATCGGCCGAAAGCAGGCGGAAGACAAATTGTTGCTAAATTGCCTGGTTCTGCCACTGCAACAGTGCTAAAAAGGCTTCAACCTTTAACCACCTATGATATAACTGTTGTCCCAGTTTACAAGTATGGAGATGGAAAAGCAAGACAAGGAGCGGGAACAACAGGTATGGTTTTAACTAGGCAAATTGTTCTTTAGTATATTTGTGTTTTTGAGGATATTTTCTGCTCTTTTATAGGTGTTTTACTGCACTCAGAAACTAAGGGGGTTAGTCACTAAGCTGCTGAAGGCAGACGAGTAAATATTCACTTCGGCCCTATACGGCTGATTTCAGCCATACATCAGCTAAATTCAGCCGTACATTGGCTGCCTTCGGTCAGCTGAATATGCTCAGCATCTTCAGCTGAGCCTAAATGAAGGAGCCGTTCCACTCAGCCGATCCATCATCTGGATCAGCTGATCCAAACCTCTGGCAGTTCACTTGCTGCTGTTTGCTCTATTCTCATAGGGGCCGGACGGCAGTAAGTGAATAGCTGAATGCCACCAAGCGGCATTCATCTTGACTATTCTGCTCGCTACCTCAGAAGTAGAAAGCATAATTAAAAAAGTTTATGAAAAATAATAACAGCATGGGGTCCTTCTCCCAGAACATACTAGACCCTTTAGGTCTGTTAGCAATGTTTGGACCCCAAGTTAAAAAACAAATGTGCAGGGTTCCCCCTCAAAGTCATACAAGGCTCTTTAGGTCTGGGAGGAATCCCAACCTCAAAAATTAGGGGAAAAAGTGGTGTCCCCCCTACAAGGGTTAAAGTAAAAATGTAAATAAATACACCAGACTTTTGTAAAAAATCCTTTAATTGAAAGAAAAACACCACAACATTTTTTGTCAATTCTTTATTAAAAAAATTCCCAAATATTGACCCAACGACGACGACTCACCGTAATAAAAAGAAACCTGATGCCCACCTACCCGTCCGCATGTCACGAACTCCCGCCGGAAAAATTACATTCTGACAGATGGTGGCAAAATATAGACAATTGGGTGGAACTAGTGGTGACATCACCGCTAGCTCCGCCCAGCTGTTTACATTTGTCCAGCACCTGTCAGAGCCTTCCCGCAGGTCTCAGCCAAATCAAACAACTGGGCAGTGCCAGCATGATGTTATGGATGGCTCCACCCAGTTCTCATTCAATGACAGCCCAGCGTCCTCTGGTCCCTTTGAAGACACTGGGCTGTCGCTGAATTACAACAACTGGGCAGAGTCGGTTGTGATGTCACGGCTGGCTCTGCCCAGTTGTTGTCATTAAATGACAACTCAGTGTACTCAAATAACCTGAGAATGCAGGGCTGTCATTAAATGACAACAAACTGGGCAGAGCCAACCATGACATCATGGATGGCTCTGCCCAGTTATCATTTGCGGGGAAAACAGTCTGCTTCGGCAGACCATTCTCCCCACTTTGGCTGTGACTACGGCTCAGCCGAGCCGAAGCATGTGTGGGTGGCTCGGACGAGGCGCTCGCCGGCCT